TGTTTACTCTGCCACCCTAAGGCTGGGGGACACTGGGTGTGGTGGGCGTGCTTGTCTAAGTACTTGTTTGTGGAACACTGAGACACCAGGGCAGAGCTAAAACAGCAGTAATCTGAAACCAGTCGCGTTGGTTTTCCTTCTCTGGCCTCAGCAACTAAAATCTGCATTCCAGATGAAACCTGCAGGGAAGCGGAAGAAAGCACTTAAAAAAAAAAAAAAGCTTCAAGGGCAGTAAATTAACTGCTTTTGAGTTCTAGGGATTTTGAGATAATCTAGTTCTTTCTTTACTTTTCTTTCTTTGCTTTGGGCTCAGTGAGTGGCTGTTCATCTGTGTGCACTGCTAGTTTTTTGTGTGTTGTTTTTGTTTGTTTGTTTTGTTTTGGCCTGGATGACACAGGCTTCTGACCATAATTTAGATGGCAAAGGAGGGCCCGTAAAAAGTATTTCAGTCATTTTGTGCTGATTCACTTTTGAACGTCTTGGGCTGCTGGGGTGGTGGAGGGCTGTCAGGAGCAGCTTGCCAGCTCAGCACTTTCTGGAGCCTCACTTGCTCACCAATGAGGAAGTTGAAAGCAACCAGGAGAAAGACAGGCACTGGGGCGGAGCTGTGGTGAAGTCCTGGGCTGGGATGACTGGGGCCAGCTGACTTTCCTTACGACAAAAAGCCTTTTGTCCACGGAAATAAATACGGAAGTCCCAGAGGAGCAGCCTCGCAGCCCGCGAGTAGTAAGGTGCGCAGCCCAGGCAGCTTCTGGGCATAGAGCTCCGCGGACTTTTTACAGTGGCCCTGGGCGCACCGTGGCCGCACAGACCGGAAGGGGAGCAGTGACTGACCTGAAAGAGACCAAGTGTGCTGCTGGGTGGCCAAGGAGCCGGCTGCCGGTCCTGTTGCTCCTGTCCTGTAAGTTAAGAGCTGATGGAGTGGATACACTGAGAGCAGGGCAGGTAACAGAAGTCGGGACTGCCATCGAGGGCGCTGCTGTGAGGCATGGAGGACGTCGGTGACCCTGTGAATGGCAGTGATGTCTCGCCACCAGACAAGTCTGAAGCGGGACCCGAATTGGCCCAGTCGATCCTGAGCAAGTTCTCTATGAAATCCTTCTTTGGGTTTGCGAGTAAACTGGAATCTGTGAAGCCCGAGGAGGAAGATGTGGTGCTGCAAGCATTCCACGCTTTAGTGGTGGATCCCACGGGTCGGCTGGATGGTCCCAGCCAGGGCTCGGATGAGCAGGAGGCAGGGGCTCAGGTTGCACCCGGCCTCGGAGGAGATGATGGGAAGACTGCGAGGGAGGAGGCAGGGAGGGAGTCGGAGGGAGGTCAGGGAAAAGCAGAGGCAGGGACTTCTCTCCCTGGTCAAGAGCTTCTTCCACTCACTGCTCTGAGTGTGAGCAGAGACGATGCCATCTTGGTTCGCGGGACCCTGGTGACCACCACCAGTGATTCGGACTCTGAGGATGGTGGCCAGGAGCCAGAAGAGGGAAGCAACACCAATGGCCCCAAGTCCCCAAGTGTTGTTTTATCCGAGCCATCTGAGGAGCCCAAAGAAAAGCCAGGAGACCGAAGAGAGAACATTGCCGCTGGGGAGAGGGATGCTGCAGAGCTCGGAGAGGAAGGTCCTCAGGGGGCTCCCCCTGAGACAGGTAGCAAACCAGAACCTGGTGATAGTGGTCTTCAGACGGAGCACAGCCCCAGTCAAGGACAGGCTGGGGAAGAATGTTCCCAAGTTCTCCCTGTGGGAACAGACCAGACCTTGAGTGCTGGTGTCACCGAGAACACCACTTCTAAAAAAGAAGCCCCTGGAGAGAAGTCATTCCAGCTGCCAGCTTTCTTCAGTGGGCTCCGCGTGCTGAAGAAGGGGGCTCCCGCTGAGGGTGGGGAGACCATCACCGAAATTAAACCAAAGGATGGGGACCTGGCTCTGCTCAAATTGACCCAGCCCGTTCAGAAGTCCCTAGCACAGACAGGGCCTCAGACAGGGAAGACTGGGGAGAAAGCCAGTAACCTGAAGGCCCCTCCCACTCTCCTGGAGCAGCTCTCCCAGCTCCTCAGCATCGACATGCCCAGGGCCGAAGTGAAGGCAGAAGACCCTGAGCCGCCCCGGGGAGGAGAGATGGGCTGCAGCGCTGCCCAGGAGAGCCAGGGCGGCCCAGCAGAAGCCCAAACCCCGGGTGGAGAGGTCAAACCGAAGCCACCAGAAACCGCCCTGGAGGCCTTTAAAGCCTTGTTCATCCGTCCCCCCAAAAAGGGGACCACAGCTGACACCTCTGAGCTGGAAGCTCTCAAGCGCAAGATGAGGCATGAGAAGGAGTCCCTAAGAGCTGTGTTTGAACGGTCCAAGGCAAGGCCAGCGGATGGCCCCTCGGATTCCAAAAGCGTATGTAGAATTGGGTTTTCCATTTTGTCATACAATGTGATGCTGCTGTATTTCTTTTGAGGTTTCCTGTCAAAGTGAATGCCGATCACCTATTATTAGTGACTGTCTTCTAGGTGAATGATGATTATTATTGAAATTGTCCTTGTAAGGAGCAGGACAGCAGCGTTTCCTTATGTTTTTATGGATTGGTATAAGAGAGGTGTATGTAATTATGTGCTGGTGGGAAAGGGAAGCTGCCACTCGGAGTTTAAACATTAATAGTAAATGTTCTTATAAACCTGAGCAGCATGAGGATGCGATGCAATATGGAAACAGCCCAGGTTTCCTCACCACTTAATTATATACCTCGGTGAAAAGTATTTTTCCTTTATATGTCTGCCACTCGGCAGAATACTTGTTTGTGATGTAATTGAAATGTTCTGTGTTGGTTACAAGGCATCCTGATTGAGCACTGCATTTAAAATGAGACCTGGATTTTAATTCTGACAATGCCATTTACTGTCTGGGTGACCCTGATCACCTCTGAGCCTCAATCTCCTCATGAGGAGAAAAGAAAAAAAAAGTGGTAACCCTCAACCTATATAGTGGTTGTGAAGATTAAGTGAAGTTAGTGTATGGTGACTATCTAATTAATAAAAACTGTTACGCAAAGAAAATTAATTAATTTGGTAATTTATAGACTACCTGTCCGGTAGATCTTAGAGGTTCATAAGGACAACAAATAGCACGTCTTGGGTTGTATCAACTCAGAATACAATTACTTCCTCTTATACAATTCATCAGTTAAAGTGTTAAAAATTAAAAAGTTTTTGGTAGAATTATCTTGGGTTTTAGTTAAAAACTAAACACAGTATAACACTTGCATAGTTACAAAAATCAACGGATAAAAATAGCTTGGAGGCCATCTCACTATTATTTTTTTAATAGGAAAGAAAAGGCGAATTGAACTAGCAATGTGGGCTGCTTGAGAAGTGTATCTTGGCCTACAGCTAATGTTGATGGAAAGTGGAATAGTAGTCATTATATCATAAAAAACCATGGAGTTGTTTGGGATACACTTGTAAACATTCCTATAAGTGTACTTGATTGGAGTACATTTGTATCTATATCTACAGCTCAAAGTGGATTTGTGATTTTTTTAGAGATAGTTACATGATAAAAATCATCTATCAAGGGTTGTGTAATACTTGGCCTTTGAGGTGTGTTTTTTTTTTAATTGAAGTATAATGAACATACAACGTTATATTAGTTTAGGTATACAATATGATTTGACATTTGTATGTATTGTGAAACAATTAGCACAATAAGGCTCTTTACCCTCTATCCCCATGCGGAATTACAAAGTTCTTTTCATGTTATGAGAATATTTAAAATCTACCTTCTTAATAACTTCCAAATTTAAAGTACAACACTATTGACTATATTTACCACGCTGTACATTAATTACATCCCCATAGCCTTGAGTTGTTTTTTTAATTTTTCACTCCCACTGATCTGGGAAAGGATCATTGAATGCAATGTGCAACTGGCCATTATTTTATTCATGTTAGAGTGAACATGTTTGTTTTTGGGGAATAATTAGCTTTAGCCATATTTCATTTAACTGATCATTTTCTTTGCCCATTTTTTAAACAGCCTGAGCACAGCCCCACTGAGCAGGACGATAGGACTCCTGGCAGACTCCAAGCTGTCTGGCCACCCCCAAAGACAAAGGACACAGAAGAAAAAGTGGGATTGAAGTACACTGAAGCAGGTAATGTGAAAACAGGCCAGCCACCCAGGAATGGGTCTCCCGCTGCAATGGCTTTTAGTTTTAATTCAGGAGACTCTCGGAATTTGAGTTTTTGTTTTGTTATAAAATGCAATGCTGAAGGCTTTTCTTTTTGGTTGCGCCTTTAAAGTGAACCCTTACACTCTTATCGTTAATGAATCTTTTTGAGATAAAAGGTGAATGCAGTGGAATGAATGAAGGGGGGCACAGGTGTAAAGTAAGAGACCCTTTGGGGAACTAATGGAGAAGATAGATTACAAATTCCTCAGGAAGCAGGTGGTTGGCCCTCTATAATGTGTGAGCTGGCAGGGTTGCTGGAAGAGGCAGAGTATGGTTCTCCAGAGCTGTAATCTGATTTGCTGTTTGTCTGTGACTAATGCTTTTCAGCTCCAGGAACTTGTGCAGAGTGAATGTACAGATCCCATATCAGTTACTCTTTCACTTTTGTTAGACGAAAGCTTTAGTTCGTGCGTGGCCATTTTTAAAGGAACCTAACTCTCTGGAAACCTTCCCAGGAGCTTTGCTTGAATATATTTAAATGGAGTGGGAATCTAGACATTCTTACTCTGTAAGTGAAAGGTTCACATGAAATTGTAAAAAGCAATGAAGGATGAGAGGATAGTATATCTTAATTGTATATGTGTGAGTGTAGGTGTCTCTAATGAATCCTATGTCATCCTAGCATTTGAAGATCACCTATGCATGCTTATATTCTGCTGGTGTCTTAGATATGTGTGCATATTAAGATCAGTCTATCTGGTTATAAAAATGTACTTCAGTTGTACTCATAGGTAGACATAGTGGATCAAAGTTTAGGTGATTTAGTAATAGATGCGTTTTTTGCAGTATTGTAAAATTCCTTCAGTGATTGAGAACATATGAATTTCATTCAGCAACCTGATTGCTTTTAGCCTCCTTTTGCACAATTGCAAACTTCTGACCACCCCAAGGCGTCAACTACTTCATAGCATTTTTTCCTGCAGTGCATGACTTACAGAAAGAATATATATGTAGCTGTCCCAATCTTCTTACCTACGTTTGATTTTCCAAAATTGGAATGCTTTTGATTGCAGTATTGAACCACATATCAAATTATTTTCCACATGATCTGGCACAGTCTGAACAATTATAAGTATTAAAGTTTGCTTTTAATGAAAAACCAGAATCCTATACGTTCTTATTCCTAGTTTATATTGGTGATGTTACTCTCATCCCTACCAATGCATCATGGGATCCTCCTTGTAACTGGCCATTAGTGTTCACTTTATTAATGATAGAGTTAATGTGTTTATTTTCAGGGAATAATTAGCCAAATTCCATTTGGTAATAGAGAAGGAAATAAACCTCAGGGGTAGTTGGGGGTGTTTATACTTCTACAGAGATTCCTTAGGTTTCACTCTGTCTTCTTTTATTTCTGAAGCTCAGCGGAGCACCCTAATTTACCTCATATGTGGCTTTTCCAGTCTTTCTTATTTTCTTGTTTTAATGTAATGATCTATGTTCTGAGAGGTCTCTAAAGTTTTGGGTGAGATGGGGAAAATGAGGATGAAGGGCCGAACAATGATAGTTCTCCTAGAAGGGCCCTGATGGCCCAATGACATCATGCAACAGAGAGAGGGTGGCAATTAAGGGAAGGCATCTAGGGCGGCAAGTTCCCATGAGTGACGGTACTGTGGCTTAATTACTGTGCTCCTAGGGCAGTGGTTCTCAACCTTCCTAATGCCACGACCCTTTAATACAGTTCCTCGTGTTGTGGTGACCCCCAACCATAAAATTATTTTCGCTGCTACTTCATAACTGTAATTTTGCTACTGTTATGAATCGTAATGTAAATATCTGATATGCAGGATGTATTTTCATTGTTACAAATTGAACATAATTAAAGCATAATGATTAAGCACAAAAACAATATGTAAATTATATATGTGTTTTCCGATGGTCTTAGGCTACCCCTGTGAGAGGGTCGTTCAACCCCCAAAGGGGTCGCGAGCCACAGGTTGAAAACCTCTGTCCTAGGGTTAGTGCTCAGGTTCTTGAAAGCCTTGGAGGTGCACCATACCTTGTGGACACACTTGGGGGATGGGGGGGTGGATATAAAAAAAGAATAAGGTAGCCCATGCCTGAAGGAAACTTGTTTTTGACCCAGTACTCATGGTGCCTTGTCACTTACTGCTAATCTTGAGGAAGCTAACATTTTTCTTTTTATTGTCTCTGTTGTTGAGAAATAAGCATTTGGCTTATAACAATGCATTCTGTGGTACTTTCATTGATTTCCCCCGCCCTTAGGGAAACATACAAAATTTGCCACTCTGTAGGAATCACAGAGACAGAAAAACTATATACAAACTATTTCAAGGTATTTGAAGTCTTACGCTTTTACACCTTCAGGGCTTTTATTTATCTAGTGTGTATTATTCATTAAATGAGTGAAACAGGAGGACAACACTCTACATTCATATTTCAGTTGTGCGATAGCAATTGTGAGCTGTTGACATCTGAGCCTAGTTCTTGGCAGAGATGGAAAAGAGATGATGTTTTTCATCATGAGTCTCACACTGTCCTTATGCTGCCCTCGGCCACTTCGGACTTGCCACTGCTTAGATTTCCCTCTATTCAGAGTTTATCGTTCAATGATCTTTTTTTTTTTCCTGAGGGCTCTAGATAACACCTAATACTGTAAACTCACTTTGTTCAAGAATAAAAAGTAAAAGAGAGCTGATATCAGAGAAGCTGTCCCCTTAAACTACTGCTTCTTCAATCCTCTTCGTCACAGGAGGGTAGCTAGCCACTGTTGCTGGTGCCCACTGCCAAGGATCCTCTCTCTTGTCATTTCCAAGGCCGTCAGCATCATCTGTAGCTGCTGATGACACTGTGACTACCTTGGCAGCGAAAGCCTTTGGCTTCCATTAGAGCCTCTGATGCCATTTTGATGACATTGTGCCCCCCATCAAGGGCAATTCTGCTGCCAATCTCTGAGCTCTTGGAGCCTTGGTGATGTGCCAGTTGAGAGAAACACCAGAACCTCCAGAGCTGTCACTCAGGGGACTCTCAGGTGCTAGAGTTGACCTCCACTACTCTGGGAGGGCCCCAGTGTTAGCCCACTGTTGTGCCTGAATTGTTCTGCTCAAGGAGAGAGAATCCCTTTCTCTCATCTCTTGGGCTGTGCTTTCTTACATTCCTCCTGTGTTTGGAATGCCTCACTGCA